ACACACACACACACACACACACACACACACACACACACACAAACACACACACGCACACACACGCACGCGTATTACAATTTTAAAAGCCGTTTTCATCTGTGGATGTACGCTAAACAACAAGCAAAATTATTTTTACCTCAATTGCTAACATTTGTTGATCGGTCATGATTGGCTAAGATAACATACTACGAGCATTTTGCGTGCATTCGCCATATAATCTCTACTAACAACGTAGTATTGGCTAATGTATATAGCAATTACACGAGACAACGCACTCACACTGAGAAAGCATACAGCTGCCCTATACTATTAATATCTCCTAGAAAATATCGCCTTTTGTAATTATATTTAAAAAATACGGAAGGCAGTTTTTTGGGAATGATACACAAGCTGATATAGACGCATGGTCGACATACGATAAGTTTAATAAAAGTATAGAATAAAATCGTAATAGTCCAGATTTCATTGAGATATCAATAGTTATGAGTGAAGGTGCAAAATTAAGTGTAGCAGCTGTTACAAATTAAAGTCCTTTGACCCCTCCCTGCAAACAGTGCAAGGCAGTTTAAAATAGCGCGTAAGAGGGGGCAGGCGTGCGAGCTTTTGTTGACTGTTTGTTTATGTATATATTATAGGAAGAATATTGTTGCTAAAGCGCTTGGCTCCTCGGAGACTGGTTCAATTTTCCACGGCATTTTTACGGAAAAGCAAACAAATATTTTTTCTGGAGCGGATTTTCGTGCTGAATATGAAAAATTTGTTTGTGTTTTCCAAATTTGTCTAATTAGGTTACTAATTAAGGTCAAAGATCAATTAGTGCAAAATTCATATTTTTTACAAAATATGTTTTCTTTCCCCTCCCAAATACAGATGTGAAAACAATTTTTTAATATCTTTGATAATAAATGCTACACAATTCCTCAAAGTTTAGAAATTAAGGGAAAACATTAAAGAAGTATTCAATTCATTTGCAAATATCTCCTTAACGGTTGGACTTTCTTTTTTTGCCATATTGGTTTGGTTTCATATAGATTTTGTTACCAATTACCAGGGTTGTCTAACCTCCATATATATGTGGTTCATGGGGACAGGGATATTATGTTTGTATTTCATATTTTTGTTAGTTAAAGTCAATGGCCAATTAGTGCAAAATACGAATTTTCATGAAATTTGTTTAGGCTCGTTTTGTCCTTCCCTATACAAATATCCAAGTTTTTTTTTAAACTTTTCTTTATATAAAACAGTAATCATGCAATAAATATTTGAATTCAATGGAAATGTGAAAGGCATTTTGAAAAAATTGTTTGTTTCCCAAATTTGCCTGATTAATTAACTCATTAATTAAGGACAAAGGTCAATTAGTGCAAAACTTCAAAACATGTTTTATTTAACCACCTTGATATAAATATCAAAGTCATTTTTCAATATCTTTCATATTAGGCTCTAGACAACATATCAAATATTCAAAATAAATGGAAAACATGAAATAAACATTCACTTCTATACTATTCTATACTATTCTATACAATACTATTTTATACTATGACGAATATCTCCGTAACGGTTGAACTTTCTATGAATTGGTTGTTTTCAGATTTTGTGGTCAGATTTTTCACATCTTTCTCTTTATTGCAATGGTTCAGGGGGACAGGGATATTATATTTGTTTTAGAGATTTCTGGT